AAAGGTCAACGAACTCTCCCCAGCCACAAGGGCCAGGAATCATTGCACAAAAAAGGCCAGCTAACAACACCCATTAATCACAGTGACAGATAACTCCTTATCACAACAAAAACATGCTGATCACCCTATCTCCTGAAAAAAGACGAAAGCTGTTCCCACAGCTATAAATACTCAACTATCCAACAAACAGCAACAGAGCATGGTCAGAGTTCCTACTCCAGTCCTCTGAACATGCCGGCCACAGAGACTGGCGAAATGTCAGGAAGAACAACCTTCAGAACACGGCCAAAGAACCTGAAAAACTCACAACAACCACAAGGAGAATAGTTTAATGACAGTGTTGAAATCCTGTTGCTTAGTATAGTAAGTCACATTAGAGTAAGCCCATTGAATCAGTGGGGATTTGGAGAGTACACCCATCTGTATATTCCTTTGATTCCAATAGGCCTAATCTAGTTGTGACTCACTATGCTAACCAACAGGATTTTACCCAGTGTTAGACAGATGCCTCATAAAAAGTGAAGGAAAAGAGCATGGCTGTTCCAGAATAAAAAGGTACAGTGGTGCCTAGCATTACGACGTTAATTCGTTCCAGCGAAATCGCTGTAGAACGAAAATGTAATGCGAAAATAAAAAGCCGATTGAAACGCATTGAAACCCCTTCAATGCGTTCCAATGGGCTGGAAACTCACCATCCAGCGAAGATCCCCCATAGGGCGGCCATTTTCAGTGCCTGTGCAGCCATCCCAGAAAACAGCGGGGAGCCATTTTATTTACCCGGTGGCCATTTTGAAACCACCGATCAGCTGTAGGAAAATCGTCATTTTGTGAAGAATCAGTTCCCGAAGCAGGGAACCAATCATCGCAAGGCGAAAAACCCCTATTCAAACCATCGTTTTGCGATTGCAATTGCAATCGCAAAAAGATCATCGTAATGCGGTTTTGTTGTAATGTGGGGCAATCATAAAGCGAGGCACGACTGTAGATGTAGCCCAACTTAAAGTTGTGTGTCTTGGCCAGCAGTTTCTTAACTATTAATCTTTCTTAGTTGGCAAGCCGGTGAATACAGTGAGTGTTTATTAAACAGATGGTAGAAATTTCTAGGGAAAGTATCACTGCAAGATACAAAAAATTAAGACAAATGAAGATGTTAGTGAGATGATAATGGGCCATAGAAAGATCAAGAAGTGAGGTAGAATTTGATGATAAACAGTAACTATACAATGAGTGACTGAACTGACTAAATAAATTGTTAGAAACTAAGTGTCACAATGTCAATTTTTGTGTATATAGAGTGCTAAAATAATAAAGGGAGTGTAGAAAATGCAGTCATGAACATGCACTTTGTGTTTTAGAATGAGATTTGAACAGCAGTTTACTAAAAGTCACTGAAATTCAGCCAGCTGTCCAGCTGAGTCTGAAACCTAGGTCAATGTACAATAACATTGCCTTGCAAAAGAATCTCTTTCATGGTTGACTGCTGAACATGTAAAGAAGTGATAAGAAATAGGAAAAGAATTGAGGGAGAGGGAACCTCTTGGAGCCCTAAAATGAGGATAGAGCAAATTGGTACCTGACTGAGTCCACCAGTACTTTACACCCATAGCATTTGCCTACCCAGTAAAATGCTACCCAAGCAACTTACTATTCCTGCAAGTGTAGGCACCCATTTAGTCAAAATAACAGCTATTATCTGCTATAGAGGCAACTTGCCAATCTTGTAAGTTATAAGAGTCATATTTCGCCATCTTGGTAAAAGCAACAGATTTCTGTTGAAAAAATTCTGACCTATTCTAGGGATCAGGGATAAAGATGGGGTATCCCTGGGGATACAAATACAGATTATCAGTACCTCAGGTGCCTGAGGAAACCAGACCCTACTCCCAGAACCGGCCAGTTCATTTACCTCTTGCTGCATGGTGTACCAGGTTTGTTGTCATTCATATTGCCAAATTGCGCAAGTAGCCTTACTGGTTCTTCCCCACCTCCTTGTGCAACTATCCTCATCCCACCTCCTCACCAGAGTGGTCAGCTGTGTGGGGAGACAGGGAAGTACTGGCCAGGTTGCTTCAGAGATTGGCGCGACATGAATGACAACGCTGCATGGCAAGAGATAAGAGGACCAGCCGATTCTCTCTCTCTCTCTCTCTCTCTCTGTGTTTGATTTCTCCAGACACCTGTGGTACTGATATTCATATTCGTATCCTTGGGGATATAAATGCAAATATCCCATCTCTAATCAGGAACTTACTGCACCAGCAAAATTATTTACAGTTGAAGGGAAATGTAAACTTCTGAGAGAAATGTAAATACAAGCAAGCAAAGAGACACACAAGAATATAGCATATCACCAACACACACATACACAAGATACGAACAACACAGATACTGGGCACCAGACATTGAAGAGCAGGAGGCATGTTACAGTGTACCAGGCTTCATTTTCAAAAAACCAACAGTATAAATATAATCACTTTCCCTGCATAGATGCAGATTTGCACATGGTTGGCATGGCTGGGGAAGAACATTATTTAATCATTGTCTCTGTGTGCACTTGTACTATGCTTAAGAATTGTATATTACTTTATCTACTCTTTAAGAACTTCAATATTTTAAGAGACTATTCTCAGCTTTTTCATTGTTCTTTTCAGGCTATAAACTCCTGTATTTTAGAATGTAATCAAAATCTCTCTCTTTTTTTGTATTTCTAGTATTTTCAGTTGAAATCTGACTTAGATATTTGCCTTCAATGTAAGTTTACTCTCAATATGTTTTAAGAATTTGTATCTACATCTTTTTTCATAGTTGTAAGACTTTTGAATGTTTTCAACAACTTTAAAGTATTTTTGTGCATATGGAACATAGACGGAATGTAGAAAAGTAAAGCTTTTGGAAACAGGCAAGCTGATGTTGCCTGGAATGATTGCAAGAAAACTAATAAATTGATATGCATATATCAATGTATTAAAAAAAACTTATACGTTGATATTCAGATGAATATCAATATGATTGGAAATAGTTATCTGGTGTTATTCTGGAGTTAATCCTTTTTCTGGGATAATTGCTAGTTGTCACAAATAGTCTTCTGAATTTTCCCTAGAAGTTTACAAAGTTCTATAGGGCTTTTAGGGAGATGTTCAGATGTCAGGCTCTTTGACCTGACATAACTATTATTTTAAAATAGTTAGCAGGTGTTCCTACATGTATGTAAAACCAGAAAAGTCATGAAATCATTCAGGTCTTATTATTATTTCTTTGAAAAAGCTGATCAAAATTTCCATCTCAGTTCATTGTAAAGTTCTCGAAAAGTGTGTAATTTAGCTGACGTATTCTTCCAGTTTATTTCACATACACAAATATTATAGAGGTAGATACTAAATTCTATCTAAATGATTTACAACTATACTCCCTTACCACCATTGATGGTGGTTGGAGCTTCCAAGAGTGGAAATCCAAAATATGTGAAAGGCCAACCTTCTTCACTCTGTTTATTGACAGTTCTAGATAATTGCTACCACACAGTTACCTTGTGAATCTACACCATTCCCTTGGGTAACCTACATCATTCAAAATAGAAGATCACGTGAGGTATTTTTCTCACTCCGAAGAGTCAACACAGGATATTAATTTCTGGAGGAAGACGTGTGAATTCTTATTTATTGAGAAATAGCTAAATAGATGAGGAAAATGCCATTTTATATAGAACTGAGAAATATCATTTAGTTGGGGAAAATTTCCAAAGCCCTGTTTTTATCCATTTGAATATGTCAGGGAGAATATCTAAAACAGTATTTCCAGCCACTAACACTGTAGCATTATTGCAGAAAGTAGGCTATTTTCAAGATAACTGAGTCTGAAAGCAGTGAACATTTTGCAAGTGAAAGGGATAGCGAACAGTGAATAAATATAATCTTTATTTGTGCTTGACTGCCATGTGGTACCCATTTCAACACATACTAATTTCTCTTTGCATTTGAAGATTATGTATTCTTTATTGTTAAATGCCACAAGCAGTAAGAAAATAAGAAGGGGAGGGAATGAGCATTTTGTAATTCTCTAAAGGTTAATTGCACTATTTAGAGATCTGGCTGTATAGGAAAAGCCTGTCCGCCTGACCCTGTGGGGTCAACGTAGTAATAGCAACCTAAATGGAGCTCTGACCAGTCATGAATTACTGTCTGATACTGAGAACGCTGACAGTTCAATCACAGCACTGTTTCAATAGAGAACTCTATATATTTAAAGCGCTGATACTGTTTTCCCTCTAAATGACAGCCTTGACAGATGGGCCGAAAGCACTGCAGACGCTTGAACAAGGAAATAGAGAGGGAGCCTGCTGGAAGCAGGGCTTCACGCAGCCAGCCGAGAATGATGAATAGAGTGTGATTGTGTCTGACAGGTAGTAATATAACTATTCATTCACCACAGAACACCTGGAGCACACACTATATTAAATGGTACAAGATGGAGAGATTCTGTGACAGGAATAGGAAGTGTGAATCCCATGCTGACTCTAGGTACTGCAATATAAAAGGTCAAAGGGCAAGCCATAGAAGCTGCCTCAGCGAAGACCATAATTAAATTATTTGCTTACTAAAGTGTTTCTAATGCTTCACTAACATGTTGCTGGGATCATTATTTCAGCAAGTCTACCCAACTGCAGTAAGGGAGGAAAACCTGTGTGCCTTTTTGCTAGTTTACACAATGGATGTTTTTTATTGCTTAGTGGCTCAGAAACGTTGGTACCTCAGGGGAAGAAAGAAAGAAAGAAAGAAAGAAAGAAAGAAAGAAAGAAAGAAAGAAAGAAAGAAAGAAAGAAAGAAAGAAAGAAAGAAAGAAAGAAAGAAAGAAAGAAAGAAGAAAATGCAGAGAAGCCTAATCTTCTTGTAACCAGAACACATTGTACTGTCAGTAGACATTTGTGAAGATTCAGTTTTTCACTTGTATTGCTTATTTGACATGGAATTGACATCACTACTAGGCTAGAAGATGATGTGATTTTATTTATTGTTAAGCAGGTTTATTCAGTTACAGGTTTGTACTATATCACTACAACATTTAGAATGAGTTGTTTGAAGAGGGAGACAAGTGTGCGAAGTGTGGCTTGTTTGAAACCAGCAAAGAATGCAACTTCATCCACAAATGAAGGATCATTGACCGATGAATAAATATTCAACCTCTCCTTATTCCTTTATGTGCCTACATCTTAAAGGGAAAGAAAAGACAGTTATAGCGAGGTTAGTGGTTTTGGAGTCGCTCCACACCACCCAAATATATAGCACCTTGTTGATATTAGTTATTTCAATCAAATAGTTACTTCAATAGATGTATAAAGAACGTACTAATGTTAGTTATTTCTGATGAGCATAGGAAGCAGAAAAATCAAAGCTTGTGTCCTATTGGTGGAATTTGTGATTGTCATGAGCTGTTGTGCAAGAGGTTCTGACAGTAGCCAGCCCAAGGCTCCATGTGTGATGTTGTGCCAAATTCTGTGGTTGCATTGCATGATGTTCCACTTTTCTTGTAACTTTGCCTCCTGCACTGCAAGCCTATAATTATGTTGTGCAATTATGAACAATATACTAGCCAGATTTGTTAAGGTGATTTCTCCTTCAATCCAGTCAGTACCCTAAAAGTTATTAAGGCTGATTAATCTCAGATCACATCTGAAAATCTCCACTGGCGTAAAAAGTCTAAGCCACATAATGTGTGTGAATTACTGTGTGAATTTACAATGTATGATTGCTATTATTTATGTAACAATAATGGTTATTTTTGAGTTGCTAAGTATATGATTGCACTATACTGTATAGGCATACAGATGTTTAATATGACACCCAAGGATGATTTTCATCACAGCGCTGATTTTAATACTGTATTTATTTATTTTATTTATTTATTTATTTATTTATTTATTTATTTATTTATTTAATGCAGCATTAAGTGCAATGCAATATTCTGGGTGGTTTACAACATGATAAAAATGCAACAACCCATAAAATTAAAATAATGTCACAAGAACTACAACAGGTGTAACTTGCAAATAATGTTTTATTTTCTTTTTTCTTTTTTAAAAAGAAGTTAACCCAAGCCAGGGAACAGATTTATCAAAAATTTATATTCCTCTTTATGCTTCCTTCTTTAATATGGTAGTGAGAACAGAATGGATAACTTTGCTATTAAGTGTTTTCATTTGAGAACACAACAGCTTGCTTACATGCACATGCTGTTTGTTTTCAGCAAACAGGTTCTACAGAAATTTTCATATATGCATTTAATAGAGTTCAACATGTAAACGTCTAATCTCTTGTAAATGTGTATGGGTATAGTTTCTAGGGACGTGGTGGCGCTGCGGGCTAAACCGCAGAAGCCTGTGCTGCAGGGTCAGAAGACCAAGCAGTCGTAAGATTGAATCCACGTGACGGAGTGAGCTCCCGTCGCTTGTTCCAGCTCCTCGCCAACCTAGCAGTTTGAAAGCATGCAAATGCAAGTAGATAAATAGGGACCAGCGTTCCGTGTCTAAGTTGCACTGGCCATGTGATCACGGAAGATTGTCTTCGGACAAAACGCTGGCTCTATGGCTTGGAAACGGGGATGAGCCCCACCCCCTAGGGTCGAACACGACTGGACAAAAATTGTCAACCTTTACCTTTTATAGTTTCTAGATTATCTGATAACTAAAATTCTCTGGATAGTGTAAAAACCCACTAAAAAGACAAGCTACAAAATCACAATGAAATGGTACATGAGAAAATAACACAAAGTAACATCAGCAGCAGGTGGTGGGAACATTGCAGTAGACTATAAAACCACAGTGAAACAAGTTAGTTATCCTCAGTGGTGTGTATAAAACATTTTGCATCAGTTCATATGGTCATTGAGAAAGTTGAGGAAATAAAGGAGGCAAATTAAATAACAGAAATTATCACTGGCTGAATAACTCAGTAAATTGGGTACCTGGCTGAGGAGGCAGAGGTTGTAAGCTTGATCCTCCATGGTACTTCCAGGAGAAAAGCCTGTGTAGCCCTTGGCAAGCTGCATTGTCACAGGATGGTAAAACATTTCTGAATATTGTGTATGTAGAAAACCCTAGAAAGGCTCACCATAAGTCTTAATCGTCTCAACAGCCAATAAGTATCATGATTAATTTCTTGAAGTTTTACTTACAACCTCACATGCTGTCTGTAGTTTGAGTGACTGGGAGCAATGTTTCTGGACTAGGATGATTATCTATCCAACACTGAGCAATTGTTCCCTCAAGCTTTTGAAATTCAAAGAGGGTCAAGACTTTCTGCTGAGTGTTCTATTCCTATCTTTTGTCAGTTGGTGGTAGGTTCTTTTGCTGCTGTTGATCAGTTGGTTGCCAGTATGTGTACAGTAAAGAAAGCAGTATACCCGAGTCTGTAATTTCAAGGAACTGTAAGTAAAGAAATGCTTTTGATTCTTTCTCCTACAAATGTTTCGGACGGAGTTACTGAGGCTTTCAGTGTCAGTTAATAAGAACGTGGTGGACTCTGGGGAGCTTACAGATATTCTCCTCTGTAGATTTTTCTACTTTTGCTGTGTAGCAAAAAAAGATAATTTTACCAGATTTGTTAACCCTCTGCAACATAATTAGTGATACTCTAATTATACTTACAATCTTCTGTGAGATGCCTGGAAAGAACAGAGAGTGCCCTAGGGTCCCGGAATATCCAGGAAACACATCACAGTACATTAAAGGCTGATAGGAGCAGCAGTGGCCCCTAGTGTGAGTTGGCTTCCAATTAATTCTGACAGGCAAGTGCTGTCCACTTGCATATAGCCTCTGGTAGAGGGAAACACTGTGTTTAATTTGTGGACAGACAGAACATTTCAGAACCACCACCACCATAATCAGAAAAACAGTCCCAGCAACATCCACTTTTTACTCTAGTCTATGAATAAAGACTAGGCACATATAACTACTGTATATAGTTACTTTTCCTAAGGCATTTGAAGACTTGTTTCTTGAGGTCTCCTTACGAAAATAATCATGTGGATGATATTTTTTAAATGCACCAAGTGTTTCAGTCTTTGATGTGTCTCTGAAGATCCTTCAGTGTTTTCAAGCTAGGTCCCCACCCTTGATAGAAGGATGTGCACTGCCTTTCTTCTCAAATTAGTTTTGCTTGTCACTTCCTTTATTCACTGGAAGCTTCAGTTGCCACCTCAGTGCCTCCTTCAAAACCTCTTCAGAGAAGAGTCACTGGGCACTTTCCACTTTTCATGCTGCTTTCATTTTTCTCTCTCTCTTCTAATTTGTTCTCCAGAAGAAGATTCAGAATGAAAGTCAGCAGCAAAGGTGAAACTTTTATGCTGATGATTCTCTTTGGGCAGAGGAGTTGGAATTTTAAAAAGTCCTTTTAAAATCAGAACAGAATGCATACAGAATAGCTCTATTCATCCTTTCCTAGCCCAGTGCAACATTAAGTGAAAATATTCCCTGGATGGTTTCAGCCCAAACCACAAGATATATGACTTTTGTGGGTTGGCAAAGCCAGCAGTACCACTATAAGCTAAATCTGTTTTATGCTAAAAGTAGGTTAAATATGCCTGAAAATATGTTCTTCGAATGGCTTCACAGTTTCTTAGTCTTGTCTGCTGCCAGTAAACTATTTATTGACTGGGTTGTAAAGAAACATCAGTGGAACATAAACACAAACCTGCACACAAAATAATTTTTAGTTTTTTAAAAAAGATTTACCATAATTTCATGATTCTTCCTCCCCCACAAACCCCCACCAAAACACAGAACACCATTTTTCTCTAGACAGCATCCCAGTGTCTTTAAGTTTATGTATGCGAGACTAGGTAACAAAATTTCTTTTCAGAATGGCATTAGCTATAGTTACTTCTCAGCAGAGGAAAACAGATGAAGTTTTCCTTTGCTGAGAAATAAATAAAATGTTAAAGAAAATAGTACTGTGATGTTTACCCTCGTGGCCCCTGCTTGTTTCATCAAACCACAGGCTAACACTACGTATCCCACAAGCTGACACCTATTTGTCGCAATACCCACGTACGTGCCCCCTGTTTAATTATTCCCTCACAAATGCGCACATCACATTCTCCTTTCGCTGCCACCAGTCGATTACTTCAATCCACAATATAAAATGATATATGTCAGAACACATGTGAACAGAAACATAACTTACTTATTGAAGTGAAGCAGAATAAGTAATAACAGAAGTTTTTCAGATATTCAGTATACATAAGCAATTCATCAACAGTTCCCTCAGTACATAGTTCTTTTTCGCTTGCAATTTCATTATCACCCTCACTACCTATATCTGTAATCAGCTCTATCTCTCTAACCCTATCTGACTAACCAGCCATAGCTCTCTGAATGACTAATCCTATCTGACTAACCAGCTGTAGTGTTCCCCTTTATTAGGTCAATGGTTCATGTTTTGTTATGTAATGGTTCATGTATATCATGTTGCTGAGAGGCGGGGCTGAGAGAGATGCTATTAGAGGAGGAGTCAGGGAGTCAGTAAGGAGGTCAGAGAGAAGGAGTCAGAGTGGAGTGAGAGAAGGGAGAAGTATAGTGTGTGGAGTTTGGGGAATTCTGAGGCGTGATTAGGGTTAGGAGTGTATTATCAAATAGAAGGTGGTTGTTAATAATAAATTTACCTAAAGACGATATTAATGAATCAATATCAATTTTTGTAATCAATAAACAAAAGTTCTATTTAAAAGACTTTGAATTGTGGACCTGAATCTTCCTGAAGTAATGGTGATTTAGTGATCACCTGAAAGCAGTGTAAAAGAGGGGATTGTTTGCCTTCGTCTGCAACACGAGGGACACGAGGGTGAATGCCACAATTGGTGTCCAGCGGCGGGATACGAAGGAATCCAGTGAAGCCTGAGTTTGGACTCGAAGAACTCCAGTCAAGTCTGATTTTAAAAAGAAATTTTCTTGAGTCAAGGGTATCTTTTAGACAGAGGTCTGTGACAAAGAAGTTTGGTTCCTCACTAGAGCTTTTGGGAAAAGCTAGGTGTTGGGGCCTCTGAACCCAGATCTGGGGGTCTAAGTTATGGAATGACTCTGAAAGAAAATTCTTGTATTTTTACCTCATGATTTGAAGACCCTGTGGGCTAGCTTAAGGCTCAAGGCTCTAAGAGTTTAGAGAGTGCTTGTGAAAAGGGCAGAAGCCAGGGGTCAGAGCAGATCTGAGGGAAGATAGGAGAAAGCCATAGAATTATTTTAGTGACTGGAAGTAAGAGAAGAAAGACAGGTCCTTTAAAAATCAGTAAACACTCTGTACTAATCATCCCAGAAGTAAATATGCCACCCAAACGTACCAAAAGGGGGAGTCCTGGAGGCTGAGGTTTTACCTCAAGAAATGGAGGGAAAGGGTGACCTTTTAACTCAAATAGAACAAGAACAAGAGTAATTTGATGAGGGTGCCTCAGAGGAACAAAAGGAATTAAGCTCCCAGGAGTTTGAAAAATGGAAGTTGGAAGTTGGAATGGGAATTTAAATTTAAGGAACTGCAGCTCAGACTCAGAGCTGAGCAAGAGACCAAATATTTCTCTAACTAGAAATGAGGGATGAGGAAGAAATTTTACAGCTCAGAGCTGAACTGAGAGTAAAACTGATGGAATTAACAGTCTAGAACTATAATAATAATAAATCCAATCCTGAGGGGGATCTATCAAAAACAGCTGAGTATATAAAAGAATTAAGAAACTCAAATTATTCTGAGGTAAAACTTGGTGGTAAAAACTGAGACGACAATAAGAAGCCCTTTAATAAAAATTGCCTCAGCAAAACAACATGGAATGAAGGCCAGAGTGGTGCCTCAGCTAAATTAGTATGGCCTAGTCCTCAGAACCAAGTGAATCTTGAAGAAAAGTTTAATGAATCTCCTCTGGATGAGAGAAGGAATTACAAAAGCGGCAAGCCTGGTCATTTACCATACAATTGTACAAAAAGTAAACCTAAAAATGTGGAGAATAATGGCCAGATCAAGAAAGTATACTGCTTGGGAACTGTGGAGGCCTCTGAGGGCCAAGGTTCTGTATCCATGGCAACCACAGCAACTGAAGAAGAAGACATTCCTGTAGCCCCTATAGTCCAGTGTTTTTATCTCAAAAACGACAATACTCTTCTCAGAAACACTGGTGAAGAGATATTAGTGGGTAAAAAGAAATACATTGCCAGAAGGGACACAGGATCTCAAATTTCCATAGTACATTCTGATCTGATAACCCAGGATGACATAATTCCAGACAGAACAATCACCCTAAAAGGAATCGGGAAAGAAACCATGGTGTTAAAAGTGGCTGAGATTCAAATAGGCTATAGGAATTAGTCTGGAAAGTGGCACATAGCCATTTTAGACAAAATACCAGCAGCTTTTCTATTTGGTTGGGACTTAATAAGGCATGTGCAGGTTGCTTTTGAAGTAACATGTTCCATGAGGGAGCAGTTAATAATCCCTGAGGGAAAAATTGATTCCCTAACCTCTGATTCTATTTAGGGAGGACCCAGTTTAGAAAAGGACCATGAGGTAACCAAAATGGCTGATGAGGGTAGTTTGGAAAACCCTAATGATCCTTCCTGTATTAAGGAACAGAGGGAAGATAGTACTTTGAAAGACTGTACTACACTAACTCCTGAACAGCCAGAGAGGTCTATGCCTGATAAAAACCTGATACAGTGGTGCCTCGCTTTACGATTGCACCGCATCACGATGAATCCGCTTTATGACTATCTTATTGTGATCGCAATTGCGATTGCAAAACGATGGTCTAAATGGGGGAATTTCGCTTTGCAATGATCGGTTCCCTGCTTTGAGAACCAACTCTTCGCAAAACAATGATTTTTAAACAGCTGATTGGTGGTTTCAAAATGGCCGCCGGGTGATTAAAATGGCTTCCCGCTGTGTTTAGGGAC